CAACACCTCAATATTTCTCTAAAATTAGTATATACCAGGAGTTTTAAAATTCAATTACCATAAATTGACAAAAACTTTTACATGTACCCAATAATTCTTCTTTAACGTAAATGTTAAGAAAATATTACTTAATATTAAGATATTTTAGATATTAAGAGAGGATATGTTATTAGCAATATTAACTTTAACAATTTGAGTGCAATTCAATATTTAAGAGTAAATTTTTTTTGGTGGAAACATTTGATCGATATAGTAATTTTTTGAATACACATATCAAAGCGATATATTTCAAATATTCACTATCTTAAATTCAAATGTTTTACTATAAACAGAATATCTAAAGTGATTATAAAAATAATATCAACTTTGGGGAATAGTGTAAGGCAGTCAGTTTTCTTTATTAAATCATAATATTTTATATGATATCCTGAGATATTGTTACTATTCACATTCATACATCAATAACCTTCTATTATTAAATTTTCCACTATAACAGTACTTTATTGTATTTTTTGAAGGCACTGTAGGATAAATGCATTGATGAATTAAACTAATCGTAATAACGGAAGAAAAGTTTGTTATACATTGTTTGTAATTCCATGACACTGAAAGTGAGTTTTATCGTTATGATACACATCCAAAAGTAATTCATTAAATAATAACAATTGATACAATAAATATAAAAGATAAACCTTTCCGAGAATGTTTTAAACATACATTTAATTTTTCACAACTGAATGTAGTAGATGTAGATGACAACAATTAGTGATTTGAAAGAAAAAAATCGTATCTATAAAAATATATGTGTACACATACAATACATTTCCATACATCATTTATATATTATCTTTGCCACATTTAAGAGATCTATTCGTGATGGGCATTTGAAAAATGGTAACAATAAGTTTAACTGATTCAAATATCATTTACTAACTCCATTATTTCTAATTTTCAAAAAGAATGTTAAAATATGTAAGTTGTACTTAAACTGAAGAATTTAAAAATTAAATTAATTCAGTACTATAATTAAAATCAGGAATAACTAAATAAAATATTTTATATATATGTATATATATATCATTAATTATGTTCAACTGGACTGAGTGACAAGTATGTCTATTTTCATTATTAAAATTTACAGTGGAAACAGTATCGTTAGATACAACTAATTATATTTACCATTAAATACGTTCATATTAATGCACAATAAACATATTTTTGTCACACATTTTACATGATATATAGAGTCCTCGTTATATTTGATCAGTTATAAATTACTTTGATAACGAGATTCATTTCTAAAATTCATTTGCCCATTGCAATCGAATAAAAGTCTGAACACTGCATAAAACTAGTGTAAAATTTAACATTTTGTTGGTGCATGGGAAACTTCCACAAAAAGAATTTCCACTGTTACAAACTTAAGAAACTCTTTTAGTTTTGTACTTGAAAAAAATTTCATCGGCGTTGGCAGCGGTCATCGATTTCTGACGACTTCTTTATTTGATTGAAAAGCATTCGCATATTTCGAAGAGTCAGAAAATATGAGATTTGCATTTAGCTTCTGTACACTAACAAGTTGAAAGGCCTGGTAGGCAGCGCTGTTAATCTATCATCAACTCCAAATGAACTGCACCTATTTTTTCGTGGCGGCTGTGTTTTATGTTTTTCGCCCATGCTTTGCACTCTACGTTTATTAAAATTCCAGCTGTAACAAAATATATATTTTCCATTAACTGTTTTCAGTGTAACTCACTGGTAGGCAAATCATACTTTAACATGTAATTTGATTTCTTTTCAATTAAGTATAACAAAGTTTAGATTCAAGTACAGCTTATAACTGTCCAGGTACTCTTTGACATAAAAAGCTTATTTCTACATAATTACATTAAATTAAATTACATATTTCTTGTTGTTTTAATAAACTACACAAAATTATTGAAACTTGTAAAAATTATTTTCTTAAGAATAATTGTTAAATGTCTCTATCAAAAAAGATAATGTTCTTATAATTATTAATTCTTGCTTTTGAATTTCACATTAATAGTGAAGTAAATTTTGCTCAATGGTTTTATATTTTTTGTTTACTATAGATAATATACTTGAAACTAATGTGTTAAGTTATTGTAAAATAATTCTAATACAATATTAACCGTTTCATATACAAATTTCTGGATTAAATTCAT